AAATTAGGTAATGGGTAGAGAGAGAGGGAAAAAATGGAAATTATTTTTTTTTGAAAAATTAAATGTGAGTATGTGCTATTTGTTTTTAGCTTTAAAAATTTTGGGGAAAGAGAGGGAAAGGGTAAAGAAAAATGATTTTTGATGACGGATGATGATGAACTTTTTTTAAAGTTTTTAGGCCCTTTTTTGGTAATTTTTGGACATTTTTGAATTAAAGTTTAAAGTAAATTGGTGTATTTATTAATATTCAAAAATATAAAAGGACGAAAAAAATTTTGAAAAAAAATTAAAGATTAAAAAATATAAATTTGGACATGTGTAAAAGATGAAAAAATAGTAAAAATTAAAAGAATAAGTAATAAATTAGGGAAACGAATTAAATAATAATAAAAGAATTTTTTTGTGTAAAAGAAAAGTATTTTTTTTTTGAAATTATGTAATTGTAAATTATATATTTGAATTATAATTTAAAATAAAAACACAAGTTTATTACAAATTGTAAAATGTTTGTCAAAATAAAAACACAAGTTTATTACAAATTGTAATTTGTTTGACAAACAAAAACACAAGTTTATTACAAATTGTAATTCGTTTGACAAACAAAAACACAAGTTTATTACAAATTGTAAAATGTTTGTCAAAATAAAAACACAAGTTTATTACAAATTGTAATTTGTTTGCAAACAAAAACACAAGTTTATTACAAATTGTAAAATGTTTGTCAAAATAAAAACACAAGTTTATTACAAATTGTAATTTGTTTGACAAACAAAAACACAAGTTTATTACAAATTGTAATTCGTTTGACAAACAAAAACACAAGTTTATTACAAATTGTAAAATGTTTGTCAAAATAAAAACACAAGTTTATTACAAATTGTAATTTGTTTGCAAACAAAAACACAAGTTTATTACAAATTGTAAAATGTTTGTCAAAATAAAAACACAAGTTTATTACAAATTGTAATTTGTTTGACAAACAAAAACACAAGTTTATTACAAATTGTAATTCGTTTGACAAACAAAAACACAAGTTTATTACAAATTGTAAAATGTTTGTCAAAATAAAAACACAAGTTTATTACAAATTGTAAAATGTTTGTCAAAATAAAAACACAAGTTTATTACAAATTGTAATTTGTTTGACAAACAAAAACACAAGTTTATTACAAATTGTAATTCGTTTGACAAACAAAAACACAAGTTTATTACAAATTGTAAAATGTTTGTCAAAATAAAAACACAAGTTTATTACAAATTGTAATTTGTTTGACAAATAAAAACACAAGTTTATCACAAATTGTAAAATGTTTGACAAACAAAAACACAAGTTTATCACAAATTGTAAAATGTTTGACAAACAAAAACACAAGTTTATTACAAATTGTAAAATGTTTGTCAAAATAAAAACACAAGTTTATTACAAATTGTAATTTGTTTGACAAATAAAAACACAAGTTTATCACAAATTGTAAAATGTTTGACAAACAAAAACACAAGTTTATTACAAATTGTAATTCGTATTTTTAATATATAAACATTTTCCGGAATTGTAATATGTAAACTTTTTCTTTCCGGAATTTTAATTATAATTTTTTTCTTTATTTACAATTACAAGTTTTATTTTTCTTAAGAATTACAATTTGTACTTTTGTAATCGTAAATATTATTCCTTTCTGGTATTTCTATTTGTACTACATACATACTTTTTCTATATTTACAATTTGCAAGTTTTCCGGAATTGTATTTAACATAAACTTGTTTTTTAATTACAAATTGTAATGTTTCCGGAATTTGTAAATCTAAATATAGGTAAAGTAAATATTACGAATTGTGATTCCGGATCAGAAAACAAGACTATTCAGGAACTTGTTTTTTAAGAATTACAATTTGTATTGTTTCGGAATTGTAAAAACAGTTAATTTTTCCCATTTTTAAAAAAATTGCCCAAAATTAAAATAAATTTGAGAGTTATTATGTAAGACTCCCATTAATTTTTAAAATTTTCAGATCTCACTTTGGCTACACAACTTTGTTCAATTCAAGCTGCTGCCTGTCTTCTATTTTGCGCCTTACGCAGTCGAAGACAACATTTATTTGAGGAAGGGGAATTGATGATTAGGCGATATTTTTGTATTGATGACATTAGGTTTGGGAGATTCTCAAAAAATTTTTTTGAAAAATTTTTTTAAAGTTTACTTGCCCCATTCTTTGGATTAATTGCAACAACAATGGGAATTTCTCCTGACAGTTTAGCTTTTGATGTTTCAAAACTTGTTGGCGGCGTCAATGATAACAGCAAAAACAAGGATGAGAAGAAGAGGAAAAGTTGTTCTGAATGGACTCTATTATTGGCTGGAATTTAGGTAAAAAATGTTGGGAAGAAAATTTTTACTTGATATTTTAGAGTTATGATGAGATTATAAATAAAAAAAAATTTTTTTGTCCGGAAATGTCCCATCCCGAGAGGAGCGATTGCCTTTAAAAATATTAAAATTTTCCCAAAAATATTCCCCTTCAACCTTTAACATTTTTAAAATTAAAATTTATCAAAATTAAAAATCCCCTTACAAAAAATTATATAACCTTTTTTTATCTCCCACCAATATCAAACTAACTTTTTCCCATTTTATTTGGCACGCTATACTCAAGGCGGGATGCGCTTTTTATGTTTTTGATTGTTTTTCAAAATAATTGTAATTTTATTACAAAAATGTTTTTACAACTACAAAAACTAAAAAAGTTGTAGTTGTAAAATGTTTAAGTTTTAGAAACATTTTTTATATTTGTAAATGTTTGAGTCAAAACATTTCACAAATACAAAATTAAATTCATAATTGTAAAATGTTTTACAAAATTAAAATTAATCAAAACAAACATTTTTATCGAAACAAACATCAAAGCAAACATTTTTTAGTAAAACAAACATCAAAACAAACATTTTTTTGTAAAAACTTTTTACAATTACAATTTAAATTCGTATTTGTAAGAACATTTTTATAATAAAATTACATTTGTTCTTTACAAACATACAAACATATAAAAATATAGACATTTACCGGAGATAAGTTTGTGATTAGTAGTCATACTTTTGATTATTTGTTTATTTATTATATATTTATTTTATTCATTTTTTTCACATTTTTTCATCTACTTATTGTACATGGTCTTAAACTTCATTATATTTTTTTTTTAAAATAACTCAATATTTATTTTTTTTTGTTTTCTGCCAGTATACAACATTTTTAAAACAGAAACTCACACTTGATTTTTTGGCGACACAACATATTTTTGATTTTGTTTATATTTATTTTTTGATTTATTTTTTGTTTTACACATCTATTATCAGATTTGTAAAAAAAAGGTTGGAAACATTTACAAATTGTAATTTGTTCAAGTACATATTCGCAATTCCGGAAAAATTACAAATTGTAATTCAGAAAATAAAAAAAATTGTATTCCGGAAAAATAATGTTTTTACAATTCCGGAAGAGTTACAAATTGTAATTTTAATAAAATACAATTTCTATCTCTTCCGGAATTGGAAAAACAATATTTTTTTTGATTACAATTTTTATTTTCAGAATTACAATTTGTAGTTTTTTCCGGAAAGGTTCCGTTCCGGAATTGCAATTTGTGTTTTCATTGTTTTTAAAATTCTTCCTGATTTTTTAAAGTTTACAATTCTTTTGCACAATTGCCTATGTTTTTAGCTCTGGTTTAAACACAGTGCTTTTTATTTAAACAAATGTTTTTCTAAATGTTTTTCTCTAGTGTTTTTAACTTTTGTTTTTTTCGTTGCTTTCCACACAAAACATTCCAAATTGTGAAAAACATCCTAACACCTTAGCAATTATATTTTACAATTGTATTTTTTTTTCTTGCTCATATTTTTTTGTTTTACCACTTTAATGTTTTTGTCAAGTTTTTGTTTTCTTTAAATTTTGATAAAACAAAAAATAAAAACTTGATAATCACCAAAACATGCCTTAAAACCACTTAATTACACACCACTTATTCAGGTTGCGAACTACTTTTGTTGTGTTCGATTGGTCTCAACTCGTGTACTATACACAAAAAAATTTTTTTTTATCTTTTAACCATTTTGTAATACCCAAAAAGTAAATTTTTTGATGTCTAGAAATTAAAAAAAATTTTCTTGGGTATTACAACTTTACACCACAAATCAATTTATTTATTTCATATGAACTACCACATAAAAAATTCATTTTTTCAATGCAATCTCAATCGGTATATACATATTAATTTTTTGGCAATTAATTTTCACTTAAAATTTATGTATATTTTATTAAGAAAAATTTTTTTTGTTATCGCGTAATTGATTTATTTTTTTTTGCCAATTTTAACCAATATAACAACTTCACTTTTTTAATCATTGCCTGCCAACATTTTTCCTTCTCTGCCTTTTTTTGTATTTTTATTCACCTGTATTTATTTAAATTCCGGTATAAAATTTTTGAAAGGATTAAAATGTTTATTTTTACTTAATTTACAAATTGTAAATTGTTTGCAAAACAAATTAAGTATATCAAAACATGTTTCTCTCTTAAAAACATTTTTCCAGCAAAAACAATTTTTCCGGAAAACATCTTCCGGAAAATTAATTTGTAAATAAAACGAACATTTGCAAACTTGTTTTACAAATGCTCATGTTTTACAAATTAAAACTTTTCCGGAAAACATTCTAGACATGTTTTACAAATACTGGAGTTTTTATTAATTGTTTTATTTTAAATGTTTAGGTTTTTAAAATCTGAACAATTTATTTCCTTAACGCAATAACCATCACATGATTATTGATCATTAATTAACATTAATTGGTGCTGGTTTATCTTGTACATTTTTCCTCATGTTAAACAACTAGCGGGGTAAATTAATAATTTTTATTCTTATCAGTTAATTTTTATTTTTTACTTTTGCAAAAAAAATTCCGTGTACACTACAATTAAATATATTTTCCCTTTTAGTTTTTAATTTATAAGAATGCTTCGTGGACAAAATTCTCACTTAGTACGTTCAGACCAAAAGAGCGATTTGACTGGTTTAACCGATTCCAAAATTAATTATCGACCGTGGTACCACTTCTCTTCAATGTCCATTATGCACAAATGTTTGTTAATTATGGCTGTATGTTTTTCTTCTTTAATGGTTGTTGCAATTGTTGGTGATAGTAAAGAGCATATTGAGCTGCCTAATGTTACTAGTGGATTTACTGAAGACGGTTAGTTGTTTGTGTTTTTGTTGATGTTTGTTTTGTGGTGTTTGTTTTGTGATGTTTGTTTTGTGATTTTTGTTTTGTGTTTTTCTATTTGATAATGTTTTTCTACAACTTGTTTTACAGTTTGTTTGTTTTACAACATGTTTAAGAAACAATGTTTATGTTGTTTGTGTTTTTGTTTTCAATGTTTGTTTCGTGATGTTTGTTTTTGTGTTTTTCTATTTACAATGTTTTGTCTACAACATGTTTTACAATTTGTTCGTTTTACAACTTGTTTTAGGAAAGAATGTTTCTGGTGGAAAAACTTGTTTTGTTTCTTTATTTTTGTTAATGTTTGTTTTGTTTTCCATCAAGTTTGTTTTTGTGTTTTACTGATAACTTGTTTTACAATTGTAATGTTTAGTTTATGTTTCTCCCAACTTTTTTTAAATGTTCGTTTGTTTACTATTTTGTTTGTTTGTTCTTACAACTTGTTTTTACAAACTTGTACACCTTTTACAACCTGTTTTACAATTTGTAATATTTCAAGTTTATTTTACAGACATCAGAAAACTTCTTTTCTCCTCGTTTGATTCTAACAAAATGACAGACACATTGAGAATGGTAACACAACAACCTCACCAGGCTGGTACAGAAGAGAATAGGCGTGTTGGGCAAAAGTTGGCAGAATTATGGAAACAGAATGGATTGGAAAGTAAAATAAAAAATTTTTTTGAATTAAAATTTTTTTGTAAATTCTTCAGAGGTTCGATTGATGGAATATGATGTTTTGCTTTCTTATCCAAACTGGACAAATCCAAATAAAGTAACTGTTCTTGGGGAGGATGGAAAAGTGTTGTTCCAATCAACTGGCCTCAGTCCTGACTTGACACCTAAAAATGAAGACTCCTCTTTAAATCAAGAAGATTCCTATCGTGCTGCTATACAATGGCTGGCATACAGTGCGAATGGAACAACTGAAAGTGAACCTGTCTACTGTCATTATGGACAACCTAAGGATTTTGAACGGTTGGAAAAGGAATTTGGAATTTCAAGTCTGCATGGTGAGCGTTTATTATTACAAATTGTAAACGGAAAGTTGGGAAACAAAAAACACAAATTGTAATTTTCTTGAACAATAAATTCCGGAAACATACAAATTGTAATTTATACGAACTTACAAACTTTCGCAAAACATGGGCAATTTCTTTTGTAATTTGTGAAAACAATTGTAAAACATTAAAATTGTATTACAAATTGTAAACGGAAAGACCGGAAAACAAAAAATACAAATTGTAATTTCCTTGAAAAATTCCGGGAAAGCACAAATTGTAATTTATACGAACTTACAAACTTTCCGGAAAACATGAGTAATTTCTTTTGTATTTCTAAAAACATTTGTAAAACATTCAAATTGTAATTGTAAAACATATTGTTTCGTTTGTTCAGGCAAAATTGCAATAATTCGTTATGGACTAGACTACCGTGGTGATAAAGTAAAACATGCAGCCGCAAGGGGTGCTGGTGCTGTTATAATATTTTCTGATCCTGTAGAAGTTGCTGGGCAAGGGCCTGAAGCGGGTAAAAGAAATTTAGAATTTTTTTAATTTTTGAAAAAGTCTTTCCTCAAACTGATTTACTTCCACCGAATGGGGTACAACGTGGTTCTATACTCGAAAAAGATGGAGATGTGTTATCTGGGTTGTTGCCTGCAAGAAACGATTTTCAACGAATTATGACTATAGAACAGGTGTAAAAATGTTTTGAATATTATTTTTTTAAATTAATTTTTGGAGAATCACACACGCCTAGGCGCAGGCAACAACCCAAACAACCATTGTTTTCTTTGAAAAATTTTTTTTGAATTTTTGAAAAAATATTTTTGGACTCGAAATCCGTCTTTAGACTACTTTCTATTATTTTTAAAATTTAACTAAAATTTCCCCAAAAATATTTTTTTCTGTTTTTAGACAAAACATTTCCTCACAGTACTTGGCTTCCTTCACATGGAGTCCAACGTGGTTCTGTTATGGCTATGAAGGGTTAACATTAATTTATTTTCTTTTAGCAGCTAAATTAAGCATAGTAGTAGTCATATTATTTTTATTTTAAAGGTGACCCATTAACCCCTTTGTTGCCTGCGCGGCGTGATTTTCCCAAGGGAAGGACAATACAACAGGTGTTGAAGAAATAATTTTTTGTCAATTAAAAAAATTTTTCAAAGGCAAAAAAGAATCATTATCTCCCTAATATCCCCGTCCTCCCTCTTGGTTATGCCGATGTTATTCAAATTCTTGAACGAATGGGAGGCCCTCAAGTACCTGAAGATTGGCGTGGTGGATTAAATATTACCTATCGTATTGGTCCTGGATTTAAACAAAATGGGAATAAAAATGATGCGAAAAAATTGAGAGTGGATGTGCATTCTACTTTGGAAATTAAGTAAAAAATTTTTGGGAAAAACTTTGGAGAAAATTATTTTTTCAAAGAAAAATCCAAAATTTAATTGGTATAATCCATGGAAGTGAAGAACCCGATTCTTGGGTAATGCTCGGAAATCATTACGATGCTTGGGTGTATGGAGCTCTAGATCCTAACTCAGGAACTGCTGTACTTGCTGAAGTTGGCCGAGCATTTGCCCAAGCAGTTAAACGTGGATGGAGACCGAAACGAACATTAGTATTTTGTAATTGGGATGGAGAAGAACATGGATTAATTGGGTAAATAAAAATATTAAGTTTTTACAATTTAAAGTTTTACAATCATTTCAAGTTTTACAATTCCCTTTAAGTTTTACAATTTAGGTTTACAATTACGATTTCTTTTAATCAAAGTTTTACAATTTATTTAAATCTAAGTTTTAAGTTTTACAATTTATATCTTAAAATTTATCATGTTTTACAATTCCTCTAATTTACAATTATTTTAATTTTTACAATTTATTTACAATTTGAGTTTTAAGTTTTACAATCCTTCTAAGTTTTACAATTAGTATTTTATGTTTTACAACTTCCGGAAAAGTTGTTTCTAAACATATTAATGTTTTCCGGAATGTTTTGATGTTTTTGGAAACTTTTTATTACTCTCTGGATGTTCATATGTTTGTTGATAATTAATTTTTTCCGGAAAAACATTGATGTTTCAAAAACATTTAATTAATTTCCGGAAAATTCTTATGGTTACTAAAACATTTTAAGTTTTACAACTCCCTTTGTTTTTACAATTCTTTTAAGTTTTACAATTCCTCTAGTTTATTTATTTTTTTAGTTCTACCGAGTTTGTACAAGAATTTGCACAAGTTTTACAAGACCGTGCTATTATTTATTTAAACGTTGATACAATTGCCTCTAACCAATCACTGTTAAAATATTATTTTTTAATTTAAAATAATATTTTTATTTTTCAAGTATTGTCAAAACAATTCCCTCACTTTTCTCTGCCGTTGTTTCCGCAGCTAAAAAAGTTCCAAATCCTGTCGAATCAGAACGAGCAAAAGGGAGACAAACAATTTACGATACTTGGAAAGCTTATTATCCACAAAAAGGAAATTATACATGGCTTTCTCCGGATGTGCCAGATATAGATTTACCTGGAGGTGGAACTGACCATATGTCGTTTCTCAACTTTTTGGGTATCCCTGTTGTTGATTTTACCTATCGAAATGTTTCTTGGGGGTCTTATCCACTCTACCATTCACGTTATGAAGTGCCATTTGTTAATGAACATTTGTTTGACCATGACAATTTGTCGGTTAGTTTCTGTGGAGAAAAAAAATTTTTTGAAAGGGCATGGCTTTTAATAGGTCCACAAAGCAATAGGCCAATACTGGGCAGAAATGGCACGCTTATTTGCTGATTCCCCTCTATTACCAATCAACGCTAGCTGTTTTGCTTTAACTCTCGCAAACAATTATTTGCCTGGAATTGTAAAAAATTTGGACAATTTACATGAAAAATGGCCTAAAGAAATGGGGCCAGCAGTTAAACAAATGCGAAATTTGTGGAGACAAACATGGTTGTTTGTTGGACAAACACAAAAATTTGAACAAGATGTTTATTCTGAAAGTGCAATGAATGCTGAATGGGCTAATAGAAGACTGCGTAAAGTTGACCAGTGTTTTGTAAATCCAGCAATGGGGCTTGCAGAGAAAGAGAAAGAAAAAAGGTTAAGAAACTAGTTTTACAATTGTAAAACATTAATTACTAAAAGTGTTTTGGTAAATGTTTTGTTGTGTTTGTATTGTGAGAGTTAGTATGTTTTTCCGGAAACATTGAGAACTATTAAATGAACATATATTTAATGAACATGTTTTTCCGGAATGTTTTTATTTTAAAAATCTTTCCGGAATTTTTTTGTTCATGAACATTTCCGGAATGTTTTTAAATATGTTTTCCGGAATATTTATATTAAATAACATGTTTTTCCGGAATGTTTTTATCTATTTAAAATATTTCCGGAATGTTTTTAAATATGTTTTCCGGAATATTTATATTAAATAACATGTTTTTCCGGAATGTTTTTATCTATTTAAAATATTTCCGGAATGTTTTTAAATATGTTTTCCGGAATATTTATATTAAATAACATGTTTTTCCGGAATGTTTTTATCTATTTAAAATATTTCCGGAATGTTTTTATTCTAAAATAAAATGTTTTCCGGAATGTTTCTGTTTAATAAACATGTTTATATTCTAAACTTAAAGGCATGTGCTTTTTTCACTTTCGGATGCCGACACTTATTCTGCTTCTGTTATGTCGGCAGTCAACGAAAAAGTATGGCAAAATTAAAATAAAATATTTTTAACAGATTTATTAAAAAATATTTTTAGATAACTGAATTCAAAAATGCCGCAGACGATAAAAAGCGCCTTGAGATTGGCCAACAACTTGCGGTAGAATTAGCAGTTGTTCAATATTCTGTGCTTTGTGCAACGAATATACTTAAACCTTTTTACTAAATTAAATTAATTTAATAGAGATTTAAAAAATTTGCAATTATTATTGGTCAATACAATTTATTTATAAAAATATAAACAAGACAAATATGTTTTTATTTTACGGAAAACATGTAAAAAATGTTTTATTTATTCAAACATATGTTTTTCCGGAAAACATTCGAACATGTTTACAAATTAAATAAACAATTATTATTTTATTTAAACATTAAAACAACAACAATAAAAACATGTTTTTCCGGAAAATGTTTGTTTACTTTTAATTAATCTGAACATGTTTTACCGAGTAATTAAACAAGTTTTATTTTGTTTATTTAATAAAAACAACAAACAAAACAACAATTAAACAAACATTTCATTGTTTTAATTAAATAAGTGTTTTTCCGGAAAACATGTTCGAACACATGTTTTTACCAATTAAACAAGTTTACCAATAAACAACAAAACATTAAAACAAAACAACAATTAAAACAAACAACAAAAAAAACATTTCATTGTTTTAATTAAATTAATATTCTTCCGGAAAACATATCCGGAAATGTTTATAACATTAACACAAAATTTGTGTGTTTTCCGGAAGTAAAATACAAAAAATACAAATTTTGCAACAAACACTTTTTAATTTCTTTATTTGTTTCACCGAACTTTGTGTGTGTTTTATTATTGCGAAAACATTAAAACAACATTAATGACGATTTATTAAGTGTTTTTACAATTAAAAGGTTAGTAGTATATTAATATTTATAATAAACAGCTTCTCAATCAATGAATAAGAGAAAATGCGTCAATCTTTAAAAAAAAGTTTTTATTTTAAGGGGATTTTTGTTGTTTTTATTTTTGCATTCCCTAAATATTTTTAGTAGTAAATATCCAAAAAAAAATTCTAAAAATATTTTTTTAGCTCATTCTTGTAATTTAATACTTTAAAAATCTTATTATTTTTAAATATTTTTAAATATATCCCTCCTACGCTTTTTTAGTAATTCAAAGTCAAGTATGTATTTATTTATTTTTGATTCGTCCTCCCTGATCGGGAATTTTTTTTATTATTTTTTTTTACTATTTAGTATAGTTAGTTGGTTAAATCCTTAAAGGAGGTAAAAAATACTTGGATTAGGCTAAAAATATTTTTTTTGAATAAAATATTTTTAGAAAATTATTTTTTTTTGTTATAGGCACAAATTTCAAAAAAATTTTTCGGGATTTTTTCATATCTTTTGAAAGAAGAATTAAAAAAATTTTTTTTGGAAATTTTCTGAAACTCGAAAAAATTTGAAAGAAATTAAAAAAAAAATTCTGAAATAAATTTTCAAAAATTTCCAAATTTTTTTTCTGGATTAAAATTCTATTTTTATTTTTTTTTCATAAAGATTATTTTTTTAATTTTTTTATTAAAAAATTTTTTTCCGCGCATGAATCGCATGTTTTCCAAGTCATTTGTTTAACATACACATATTTTAAGACATTTGATCCCAAAAATGATTTATTAATTTTATTTAAAATTAATTTACTTACAATTAATTCATCATCTTTGAACCCTATTTTTTAAATTAAATTTTAAATTCAAAAAATTTTTTTTTAATTTCTTCAATAAATCAAAAAAAGTAGACATTTTGTCCCACTAATGAATTTAACAAATTTGGTCTTTTTTTATTAAATTAATTTTTTTTAATTAAAAAAAATTAAAAAAAATTTTCACACATCAAAACCAGTTTTTCTTTTTAAATTAAAAAAAAAGTAGCACTTCAATCCATTTTATTTTTTTTAATATTTGATAATTTTCCCCTTTTATCTTTTATCAATCTATGCGGGGAGAGCTGATCTATTATTTAATTTTTTTATTTTTAGATTTTTTTATTTTATTTTTAGAGGGAAGATAAATATACCTAAATTTTGGGGGGAATTTTTATTAAAAAATTAAATTTAATTTTCAAAAAAATTTTTTTAAATAATTTTCCTCTCACAAAGAAGGGTGTGTGGGGGCATTAACTATACCTAATAGAGATCGAGATTTTTGAAAAGCCTGGACCTGTTCCTGGACTCTAGAGTTTGATTTATTGACTCGGAACGGATCCTGGGCCTGTATCCAGGAAAAACCCAGGAAGGTCAAAAAATGCTTGGACCTGGACTCTGGGTACAGGTGAAACCCACGCCTTGGTTCAAGTCCATCTCGATCTCTAATACCCAACATAAGTGTGTTTCAACTAAAAAAATTTTTTTCCAAAATTTTTTTATTTTTATATACAAAACCCCAATTCATTATTTAATCGTCAAAACAAAATCTATTATTATTCTATTCTTTAAAAAAAATAAAAAAAAAGAACGATTACTGCGTCTTGTGCGCAGTCATCTTCTTCACAAAATCTTCTTTTATTTGTCCTCTTCCTAAAAACAATTTATTTTTATTTTATCTCTCAACAAGAAAAACAATAAAAACAACCAAAACAAAGTTTCTTTATTCTGGTTTTTAATATTTTTATTTAAAGTGTTTTGTGTTTTTCTTTAAATATAGTCCCCAATACCTGTGTTTATTAATAGAAGCAGAATAATAAAATACAATCAGAATTTTATAAAAACATTCAGTATTTCAGAAAACACATATTTCAGAATTAATTTTAAAATGAAACACAAAAACACAAACTTATATATAGGAAATCAGAATAAAACCAGAATTATGAATATATGTAAAACACAGAACAAAAGAAAATACAAATTAAAAAAAAGAAAATACAAGAAAATACAATCAGAATAAAATCAGAATTATAAATATAAAACACAAATTTAATAAAAATCAGAATTAATCAAAAACACATTGTATTTAAAAATCAGAATTAAATGGGAAAATACAAAATTAAATAAGACCAGAATTAATACATATAAAACACATTAAAAACCAGAATTAAAATTTTAATTCACTAATAAAAACACAAAACAATCCTCTTTTATTTTTACAATTGTATTTTATTTTTTTTATACATAATCTTTTTTGTTTCTGTTTTGTACTTTAATTTAACACACTTGATTTATTTTTGTTATTTTTTATTTTTTGGTCATTAAGTTTATTTTTTTTAATTTTAATTTAATTAGTCTATTTTATTTTTTAAATTTAATTTTTTACTTTATAAAAGACTAAAATTAAAGTTAATTTAAAAAATTTATTTTTTAATTTTTTTTAAATTTGAGAAAATTTAGAAAATCAAGTTTTATATTTTAAAATTAAAAAAAATTATTTTTTTTAAAATTATATGTATATTTAAAGGACTCTTGATTTTATATTCTTATATGTTTTTTTTTAATTTTATTTTTATTAAAAAAATTTTTATTTTCTTGAATATTTTTTTTTTCTCTTATAATTTAGACAACATTACAATTTAAAAAAATTTTTAATGAATAATCATTTCTATCATTTTTTATTTTTTTTTGGAAATTTCAAGAATCCTAAAAATTAATTATGAAACATTTTATTTTTAAATAAAATTTTGTTAAATTTTAATTCAAAATTTTGTTCCTAATTTTTAATACATTTTTATTTTCTTATTTTTATTTTTTTAATTAAACAAACACGTATATCCACGTCTTTTAATATTCAAATAAATTTTTTTTCTTTTTCCAAATATTTTTAAAAAATAATAAAAATGTGTCAAATACAATATTGTATCGTTTTGAAGTTGTTTTTGAATGATATCATTTTTTGGAAAAATTTTTTTAATTAAAAAAAAGAATTTTTTTCATGTGAATTTATTGTTAAGAAATAAAACAAGCAAATGTTTAATTTCTAAGTTTTCCGGAAAAGTTTCAAGTTTGCGCTTATTTGTTTTTCAAGTTTTCCGGAAAAGTTTCAAGTTTGCGCTTATTTATTTTTAAGTTTTCCGGAAAGTTACAGGTTTAATTATAATTTTATTTTTTCCGGAAAGTTGTATTATTCTTTATTTTAATTAAATTTTCCGGAAAAGAAATATTTGTTTTTAACTTTTCCGGAATGTTTGGAAGTTTTAATTATATTTTAAATGTTTTTCCGGAAATGTTTTTCCGGAAAGTTTCACAATATTTAAAAGAACAACCTTTTTATAGTTAAAAAGCGGGGGTTGAGAAAAGAAATTAATAATTTTTTAAAGCTTTTATATTTTTGCAATAAATTACAACAACTTTTATATTTAAAAATGTAGCAATATATAAAATACAAAAGGTTAAACTAAAAGCTTGGAATTAATTTTAAATTTTTTTTCTTTTTTATTTTTAATAAAAGAAGCATCTAAATAGGGGTGGGAGTATCTACTAGCCAAATAAAAAATAAAAAAAGAAAATTACTTTTTTTGACATGACGCGAGTTTTATTTGTCATTTTCCGGGGTTTTGGATCTTTTTAAAAAAAGTTTTCCCCCTTCCTCTTTTTTCTTATTTTTCTTCCTTCCTCTTCCAATAAAAGGGGGAGGGAATGGAGGGGGAAGTGTAGTAAGTCACTCATTTCTTAAAGCAATCATTTTTCTTGGGGTTTTAAATGACACGAATTTTTTAAATTTTTATTTGGGAGGATATTTCCTTTATTAGAAAAATTGGTAGAATTTTTCAAGAATTTTTTATTAGCCCTTAAAATTGAGAGAACCTCCAAAATCCTCTAAAATCCCCCTAAAATTCATTTTTACTTAAAAATATCCATTTTTATTAAAAAACATAAAAAACAATCAAATAAATTTAAAAAAATTTAAATAATTGTTTAAAATAAAAAAATAATTCTAATAAAAATTATTTACCACGAAAGGATTCGAACTCTCATCGATTAATTAATAATTTAATAAAAAATGGCACACTAACCAACTTAACCAAAAAATTTTAAGTGTTCTTATAAATTAATGTGTGAAGGAGAGTATCTCTTTAAATTAATTATAACTCGAGATTGAATAATCCAATTTAAACGATTTTGGACTTGTTTGATAGAGAATTAAATTATCTACAAAATACAATTTAAATTAATATTTTAGATTAATTATAAAAATAATTATAATTAAAAAACCTAAATTTTTAACGAATTTTGAAGGTTTTTAGTCTAAAAATATTTTATTTCCTCATTTAAAATTTTTATTTTATTTTTGTTTTGTAGAGAATTTAATTCTCTATCCAACGATACTAAAAACGTTTAAAATAGTTTTTGTTTCAAAAAGCTATAAATTTTTGAATACAGTCACTTCCTCCAATGTTTATTTAAGAAGAAAAATTAATTTTAACTAAACACAATTAAAAATAAATTTAAAAATATTTTTAAAATATTCCTTTTTTATTATTTTCATTCCTTTTTGTCTTTTTTTAAATTCTACTCCATATATAATCATTCATTTTTGATCAAAACCACTTCTAATTATTTACAATTAAGGGTAATTAAAATCAAGTTTTAATAAAAACCTGTGTTGAATTATAAACTTTATTTTTTATTTAACACATCTTTGTACCTTTATAGTAATTTTATTTATATTTTTAGAATTTTTATTTTTAATTGTTTATATTTCTAAAATTATTTTTTATTAAATTACTTCCTTGTTTTTTATTCTTATCTTTTAAAGAATAAAAAACTGTAGAGTTTCCGGAAATTATTAAAATTGAAAAATGGTGAAACTTTTCGGAAAAAGTTTAAAAATTAAAATGTTTTAGAGATAAACTTTTTCCGGAAATTAATTAAAATTAAATTATACCTTTCCGGAAAATGTTCTAGTTTCTGTTTTAGTTTAGAAAATAAACTTTCCGGAAAAAGTTTAAACTATTAAAATGTTTTAGAAATAAACTTTTTCCGGAAAATAATTATTTTCTTCTTCTATGTAGAACTCTTCATATTAGCCTACTATTCCTTCTATTTTCTTCATTTATTCTTACCTTATCCTCTGTAATCTTATATGTATTTTATTTTTCCCCCTTCTTCCTCTATGTAAATATTTTTTTAATTTATTTTAATAAAATTTAATTTTTTTAGAATTTTTTCTCCTCAAACTCGGTCAAATAAAGGCAGTTTAAACGAATAATTTGACTGCAAAAATAAATTAAATTAATTTATTGTTGAATTAAACACTTCAATCAAATAAATACTCACAGTCCCCAAGTTCCCCCCAAAAAATGTTGCCATCCCCTTTTACTAATTCCTTCAGCCATCCTTTCCACAAATTAACAACTTGTTCTGTAACAAACTTGCCAAATTGTTCTTCAAATATTTTGAGGTTTTATCTGCTTGTGTTTGTATCATCTCAAAACTTTTTGTCATTAAATGGATCACCGTCTATGAGGAATGGGGCGTCAATACTTGCAGGTAATAATTTTTATTTAAGTTTTACGCAAAGTTGTAATTTTGATAGGTGACTAGAATTCCGGAAAGTTAACAAAATTTTTTAGTTATTGTAAATTATAAGGTTTCCGGAAAGTTTATTTTCCAGACTAGAACATTAAAAAAACATAAACTAAAATATTTTCCGGAAAGTTATATTTTAATTATAAAGTTTTCCGGAAATTCATTCACTGACTAAACATTTTCCGGAAATATAATCTAATTATAATATTTCCGGAAAGTTTCGTTCTCGTAACAAAAACATTTATTAAAAACATTTTCCGGAAAATGTATAATTTAATGTTTTCCGGAAAGTTATATTTTATTATTAAGTTTTCCGGAAATTTATTTATTAATAAACATTTTCCGGAAGATAATTTAATTATAATATTTCCGGAAAGGTTATTTATTTTCTGAAGCAAGTTTATAAGTTAATTTAATTATTTATTAAATAAGCTTATTTAGCCCAATAAAATAAAAATATTTAAATTAATCAAAAAATCTTTTTAAAGATGATATAAATGTTAATAAAGAAATACACCGACCAATATATGAATCCTCTGTCCATAAAAGAACAAAAACTACCCCCTCAAATAACAACAGCAATACACCCCTATCTCTAGTAGAGGAACATCCATTATTTCAGCAGCAAAGACAAAATGATCCTTTTCCTCCTAACAGAGAAGAATCTCAACAAGAAAATTCTGTTAATAATGTTGTCGAGGTTGATGCAAGTCCCGGTTTTGTTAAAGCGGCGGAATTGCTTAAACATTCTATTGACGAACGGGTAGATCCTTGTGAAGGTAAGAAATGTTTTCAATAATTTATTTCCGGAAAGTTTTGTGTTTTTTAATGTTTTGTATTTTTCTTAAAAAGTTTGTGTTATTTAATAGAAATAAACATGTTTTCCGGAAAGTTTTGTGTTTCAATAAAGTTTTGAACATTTTCCGGAAAGAATAAACCTTTTCCGGAAGGATAAACTTTTTTTTGAAACAATAAACATCTTCCGGAAAGAATAATTATTTTCCGGAAAAATAAACATTTTTCCGGAAGGAATAAACTTTTTCCGGAAAGTTTCTAAGCATTTTTATTCCTTTATTTTAATTATAATTTCAATATTATTTTTTAGATTTCTTCGATTTTGCTTGTGGTAAATGGGTTGCCAATAATCCAATACCTGATGATCTCGTAATATTTTTTAAAAATTTAAAATATTTTATTTAATTTTTAGACATCTTACGGGCATTTTAGTGAATTACGAGAGAAAGTTAATCACGAAATGAAAACACTTTTTGAATCTCCAGAAGAGCCAACCTCCGTAGCAATAAAAAATTTAAAAAGTTTGTATCACGGCTGTATGAACACAGAGGATTTGAATAGAAGGAATAGTTCAGAATTATTAAGGTAAATTTTCCGGAAAAGTTTATTCCGGAAATAATCTTTAATTCTTCCACAGTCGAATAGCAAAGTTTGGGCATTGGCCAATTATTTCTCCAAATAAATGGAAGGCGGAAGAATTCGATTTAACCGATCTTTTGGTCCATGTCGGCCGTTCTCGAGCTATTGACGTGTTTGTGGATGTTTATGTGTCGTTGGATCAGAAAAATGCTACGAGGCGTTTACTCAATTTTGATCAAGGGGGTTTGGGATTGGGGGCTAGTGCCCGAGATTATTACTTAAATGATACGAGATATGGGAATCAAATGGCAGCATATAAGCGTTATATGATTGAAAAGGTGAATAAATCGAAATTTTATTTTAATTATTAAAATATCGCGGAAATTGGTGGGGGTTACTGTCAACATCTTTCAGTCCAGTTGTCTTTATTAACCCACAACTTTTTCATTTTCTGACCATTCTGAATAAGTTATATACCAAACGAAAGCTCTTAATGTGCAGATTATTTTACCTAGCAAGTTTGTTTTGATTGGATTGACATATAAAAAGTTATAGCGAAATAACTATCAAAAATCACGATTGCGCACACTTATACGGCTATAACTTTTCATACGAATATCTGATCAGAACAACCTTGTTAAGTAAAATAATCAGCACATTCAGGGCTTTCGATTAATGCAAAAATTATTCAGATTGGTCAGACTTAAACAAAGTTATGCCCAAAATTTTACCCTCGGAACTGGGCATCTCCTACCTATTACAAGTCTTTCCGGAATCACTTTTAAATATTTTCCGGAAACTTTAAACAAATATTTTCTATTCCAACAGATCACCTCATTCGCCAGAGACGCCGGCACATATCAATCAGATCCGGATTATATTCCTAATGAAGTTGAAAAAATAATAAATTTTGAGAGGGAATTTGCACGTATATTAACACCAGACGAGGATCGAAGAAATTTTACAAAAATGTTTGGGAAAAATTTTTTATTCTAATTAAAAGGACATTTTAAGGTACAATTTACACCACCTCTCAGAAATGCAAAAAATTTTTAATTTAATGAATTGGACAAAATATTTTGATTGGTTAGTCCCTTCAGAGATGCACGAATATTTAAAATCTGACCCAGAAATAATTTTGGCCGAGCCAGAATATTTCGATAGATTAACCAAATTATTAAATTCAACGCCTGATGAGGTGAAGGCAAATTATGTTATTTGGAGATATGTTTCGGCTTGGTCTTTCCAATTGAGTGAAAGTTATGATGATGTCCAGCAAAAATTTCTTAAAGCATTTTTGGGAAAGAAGGCGAAGAGTCCAAGGTGGAAGGATTGTGCCTCAGCGGCATGTAAGTAGAATATTATTGTAATTATATTTTTCCGGAAATAAACTTTTTCCGGAAATAAACTTTTTCCGGAAATAAACTTTTTCCGGAAATAAACTTTTTCCGGAAATAAACTTTTTCCGGAAATAAACTTTTTCCGGAAATAAACTTTTTCCGGAAATAAACTTTTTCCGGAAATAAACTTTTTCCGGAAATAAACTTTTTCCGGAAAATTCTTTATTTTCTCACATGTTTTGTTGATTTAATTTTCCGGAAAGGTTTTCCGGTTGATTATAAGAGTTAAATGTTTTCCGGTTATTTATAAAAATTAATGTTTTCCGGAAAGTTTTAAAGCATTATTATATTCTCCCTCTTTCTCCAGCTTCTCGAATGAGTTATGCCAGCGGAGCAATGTACGTCCGCGCTCATTTTGACCGTTCTTCAAAAGAGGCCGCTTTAGCAATGATTGAGGATTTGAGGGCCTCGTTTAAAGCAATGTTGGCAGTAAATGATTGGATGGATCCGGGGACTAAAGAATATGCCTTGATTAAAGCAGAACAAATGCTTAGTTTAATAGGCTATCCAGACTTTCTCTATAACGACACACAACTGGACGATTATTATAAAAATTTTGATTTACATCCTAATGATCACTATGCTTTACAAGTAGAAAAATCGAATTTTTAATTAAAAATAAATTTAAAATAAAGGTAGAAAAGGCAAGCATTTGGTCACAACGCAAAGCCTTCCGCCGCCTAATCGAGCCCGTCGATAGAGAAGAATTTGGGACGAGCAGTGCTGTCGTTAATGCCTTCTATTCGGGTGTTAAAAATGCTATAAGTCTGTCTAGAAACTTTTTGGGGTTTTCAAAAAAATTTTCCTTTTAGCCTTCCCAGCAGCCATACTTCAATCACCCTTTTTCGACCGAGACTTCCCCAAAGCTACAAATTATGGGTGTATTGGGGCGGTTATAGGGCATGAGATTACTCACGGATTTGATGACCAGGTAGCCGAGGAGGGGAAGAAAGAAAATAAAAAAAATTTATTTTTAAGGGAGCTCAGTTTGATGGCCGTGGAAATTTGAAAGATTGGTGGGATCCACTAACCCAGAAACGTTTTGTTGAGAGAAAAGTAACAGAAATTCGAAAATAAAAAAAATTAAAAATAAATTTTTTTCCCTTCGTAGAAATGTATAATAGACCAATATTCGGCCTTTTCTGTCCCTCAAACTGGACTTAAAGTTAATGGGATACTTACACAAGGAGAAAATATTGCTGATAATGGAGGGATTAAACAAGTAAAATTAATTTAAAAAAATATTTTAAAAAATTTAAAAAAAATTTAAAAATTAATTTAAAGGCCTATGCAGCCTATCAAGCCTATTTACGCAAGCATGGACAAGAAAAACGCCTCCCCGGGTTGGAGAAATACAATAATGAACAACTCTTTTTTATTTCATATGCGCAAACTTGGTGTGGTCATACAAAACCGGAAACTGTCAGTTTTTAAATTCATTTTAATTAAATTAACGTTTGTGCAGTTTCCGGAAGGTTTACAATTTGTAAAAATAAGAGAAATTATTTCAATTTGTAAAAAGGAAAACTTGTTCCGGAAATTGTAATTCCGGAAAACAAGTTGCATAAAGGAAACCTTTCCGGAAAGTTTAAAATAAAAATTGATGAATTTACAAATTGTAAAAAACATTTCCGGAAAGTTTACAAATTGTAAACGGAAATAACAAATTGTAAAAATACGCTAATTTACCTATAACTTTTCCGGAAGGATTACAAATTGTAAAAAGAAACACTTTCCGGAAAGATTAATAAATATAAAATTGAGATACTTATTTTTCAGCTTTTTCCGGAAAGATTACAAATTGTAAAAATTAGGTTATTCATACTTGACGTTTCCGGAAGGATTATTTACAAATTGTAAAATTAGCTTAATTATTCTAGTCTTTTCCGGAAGGATTACAAATTGTAAACGGAAACATTTTCCGGAAAGCATAGAAAATTATAAAATTGAGAGACTTTTTTCTCAGCCTTTTCCGGAAAGCTTACAAATTGTAAAAATTAAGTTAATTATTCTAGACTTTTCCGGAAAGCTTACAAATTGTAAAAATAAAGCTTTTTCCATAACTTTTACAATTAATCATTTATTTCCAGTTAATCCGACAACTTCTGACTGACCCCCACTCTCCCTATCGTTACCGAGTTAACGGCGTAGTTGTAAATCAACCAGAATTTACAAATGCATTTAAATGTCATGAGGGTGCAGCAATGCGTTATTCTGAAGAAAGGAGATGTTCTGTTTGGTAAAACAAAAAAATAAAATATTTTTTTAAATTTTTTGTATATTTGTTTTTAGGATTCCCTTATCCACTTCTCTTCCTTTCCTCTTCATTCTCTATTTTTATGCCTTGCCCATTTTTTGAATTTTTTATTTGTAAATCTTTTTTCCTTCTTAATTTTTTAAATCCTTCCCCCCTTTCTGTTGCAATATACTTTCCATAAAAATAAAAACGAAAAACTTCCTCCAATATATTGTTAATTTTTTAAAAATATTTGAGATAAATGTACACTTTTTTTTGTAAATTTAAATAAAGGAACTAATATAAAATATTATTATTACATGATAAAGCAACAATTTTTGTTTTACAATTTGTTCAAAAAAGTTTTTAAACTAATTGACGTTCTGGTTCTTTAGGCGAATCTGTCCATGCAAATTTAAGAAATACAAGTAAGCTGATAAGATTTAAAAATTGAAAAATGACTAGACAGGCATAGTCCAATTTTACAAATATTCTAGCCCATTCAGATTCAATCTAAAAAATTTTTTCAAAAAATTTTTTCAATTTATTTTTCACCTTTTCTCGTGTTTTATCTCTTTCAAGTCTCTTTCTAAATCCTCTCTGAGTTTCTACTACAAATCCAAGCATTGTTCTAATTGTAGATAATTCTATTGTAAGATGTTCAAAAAATAGTGGAATATTGGATATACTTAAAAATTCATATGTATTTTGAATTAAATTTTAAAAATATGATTTTTATATTAATCGAAAGCTCTGAATGTGCGGAATATTTTATCTCACAGGATTGACATGATCGGATAATCGCACAAAAAGTTACAGCCTGATAAGTGCGCTCAATCGTGATTTTCGTCATTTATTTGACCATAACTTTTTATTTAATGATCCTATCAGGATAACACTGTTAGTTAAAATAATCTCCACATTCTTAGCTTTCGATTGGTATAAAAATTATTCAGATCCGTTAAGAATTGAAAAAGTTATGAGCCAAAATATTCCCTTAAAACTGCTATAGCTAGTGTATTTTCATTAATTATTTTATTTCCCGGAAATGTATTCCGGAAACGTTTTAAAATTAATTTTCTCACTCAATATTTGTCGTTGTAGCCCTTCTCTTTTTATTATCCCCATTAAAGTTATCTTCAATTTTAGGTGACAGACGACGATTATTATTGTTTAATACCCCATTTTTGTTGTTTAATCTTCCTTTTGTTTCCCCAAAACTTCCATAATTATTTTTATTTTCTTCACAATCCCCTCCCTCCCCTCCCTCTTCTTCCATATAAGGCTCGGTAAACCGAATTCCTCCAATAAACAATTGTTCTCTCAACGACTTTCCTCTATTTAACAATAATCCTTCCCCTTCCTCTTCTTTATTTATCCTCTTCAAGTCTTTGGTTCTTTTTATCCTCGGCCTAACCAAAGACAGTTTATATGTTAATTGACTGGGGATACGCGCCCCTTCTACATAACGCTTTGAAGAAGCCATAAATGCCATTGAAATGGCTACCGATATAGCACAGAGAAGGATGACGACAAGTATGTAGACGCCCAAAAGGGGAATTGAGTTTGATTTGGGCATTGCCTGTAAAATTGTGTAAATGTTAATATTGAGGTGAGCGACTGTCGTGTTCTCATATGTCACGTTCTAAAATGTCGTGTCCATAAATGTATGTTCATAAGTGTCGTGTCCGCAAACATCGTGTTCGCAAAGGTCTTATTCGCAAAGGTCTTATGTCTGTACACATAGGGGCTATTCACAAATGTTATGTCCACAAATGTCGTGTTCTCAAACGTCGTTCCGAAGATGTCTATTCAAACATGTCGTGTTCGCAAATGTTAAATAATTAAAACTCACCCCAGCAACAATTCCAAGCAGCACAGTCATAGCCAACAAACTTCCTAATCCCAACGAGACTTTTTCCCCTCTCGGTCCATCACTCGATCCAGGTGTGAAAATTCCAAGAATTGACAATGTCGAAATAAGGAATATAGGCACTACAATTACCGTTATATAAAATATTGGGCGTCTAAAAATTTTTTTGAGAGAAATTTTTGTGTGTAAATGGGGCATTTTACCGTCTCAAATGGAACACATATTGCACCTATTTTAATTAAAACTTTAATTTAAAAAATAAAATTAAAAAATGCCTCAGATCTGTATTCCCCCTCCTCCAAATAATGCATATCCCGAACTGATACATTTATTAAATTCCATTCTGAATTGCCGGCGAAATGGCTTTGTAAGGGTGGTTGGCTTGTATGGACCTTTTCAAAAAGTTTTTTAAAAAGAAATTTTTCAAAAATTTCCCGAAAACAACCTCCATTTCTTCGACTGTCAATAAAGGCGAAGCTAATGCTACCGCACAAAATTGAGTGTCAAAAGGGAACAGTTCAATGTTTAAACGACAAGTGCTACAAACGAAGGAATAGTTTTAATTAAATTTAATAAAAATCTCATTATAAGACACCTTTAGGGTTGAAAATCGTATCCTACATAGAGGTTGACTTATGTAGAGGTGTTGCTTATAAAGAGAGTATCTTATATAGAGAAACCTTATTATATGTACATCCTAAATAGAGGGTATCTCTTATATAGAGGGTAACTTATATAGAGCATCTCTTATATAGGGGGTATCTCTTATAATGGGGTATCTTATATAGAGGTATCATTTAAACCACCCCCTTCCTAGATAGAGGTGTCTCTATGTATCTTATAATGATGATTAACCATAAAAACTTACCAAGTAACATACTGAGGAATATTGATTTTTATCTTTAAAAATTTCAAAAATTTTCAAAAAAATTTTTCAAAAAAACTTGTCCATCATATTTCACTCTAGCATCATATTTTTCATCATTTAGCATATCTTTTGTATCCATAGAATTATATACAAATATTTTGGGTTGCCAAATTGTTTTTGCTGGCACTATTAATTCTGTGATGTTTGAGTGAATTTTGGGTAACCAGGAAAGGCGGCTGTCTCTCCAACGCTGGATGGGATTAAATTAAAAATTATTTCTAGGTAAAGTAAAGTGAATTTTGACATTTTAACACTAGTAACTTGGACATTTTGGGCATTTTGAAATTTAGAATATTTTGTAATCTAGACATTTTGGGGTTTTGACGTTATGGGAGCTGACATTTTGTCCTTTAGACATTTTGTCATTTTGACGTTTTGGGGGTTGGCATTTTGTCGTTTTGACATTCCGAGTTTTTGACATTTTGAAACTTTAAGATCTTTCGACATTTCAACTTTTCGACACTTTGACATTTTACAACTACAGTATATTTATTTACAACACTAGAATACAACACAATAATACAATTACAAACTATACAATACAACACAGTTTTAGAACAAATATATATTTATAGACATCACAACATATACACAAACACACATCTATTTATTTATCCCTCATCTCTTTCATTTCTTCCCTCCTTTCTTTTTACTCGTATGATATGCCGATCCCAGCTCCAACTTTGAATAGTCCTTATCCATCTCCGCCCATTTCAGCGCCGCTTTTGCATCAACCTCCATCTTTTCCATTTTGGATTTGAGAGTGAAGAAGAGACAAATGAAGACAATGGCGAGGATTGTCCTGTGAAAAGGGGAGAAGATTTTTAAAGCAATTTTAACCCTTCAAAACTTACATCAAAAGAGCAATAAAACCAAGAACAACCAACACAATGATGATTGAAGTGCCAAGCGGACAGTCCTCCTCCACCTTCGCTTCTGGTTTAGTAGTCTTGTCATCATCAGTCGTCTTCTTGTCACCCTTGTCACCTTCTTTACCGTCTTCTCCCTTCCCTTTGCCTTCTTTATCTTTATCCTTCTCTTTCGGCTTTTTGGGCGAAGTGGCGTCGGCAACAAACAGAGTGCCAAGTAGAAGAACCACAACAAGGAGACAGAAGATTTTGTTGTAGATTGATCCTGTAGATGAGCGACGGAAGAACATTTTTTGTTGTTGTAGAAGGTTGTTGGAGGTGTTTGAAGTTTTTGTGGACGAAGAGAGGGAAGAATGTGAAGTTGAAAGCTTTTTATAGTAAGTTCTTAAGACGGCTTTTATACGGGCTATCGTCTTTTCCTCTAATTTAGAACAGAAAAGTACAAAACTTGAAAACACTAACACGGAAAATAGACAAAATAAATATCGTGTTCTCAATTGTTTTTGTTCTCAATTGTCGTGTCCACAATTGTCGTGTCCACAATTGTCGTGTTCTCAATTGTCGTGTTCTCAATTGTCAAATCACAATTGTCGGTTAAAAATGCGTCATGTTCACAACTGTAGTGCTTACAATTGTCGTGTTCTCAATTGTCGATCCCTCAAGTCCCGTGACCACAAAATTTTGTGCCCACAAGGGTCGTGTTCGCGAATGTCGTGTGTACGCAAATGTCAAATACACAAATGTATCAGTAAAATTAGTTACCTATATTTTTCCGGAAGGGACGTAAATACGAGGGTATTTTAAAATTAATTAAGACTTTCCGGAAACCATAAATCAGGAAAGCTTATTTAAATTAAATATTTTACTTGAATATGAGAAATAACATAAGCAGCAACCTGTTCATTTTCTCTCTTTAAAAAAATTTTTAAAAATTTCAAAAAAAAATTTTTCTCAACCATTTCAATTAAAATACCCAAAACTATGGTTACGTTAATATGCACAGTTTTTGAATATTTATTTTCTCCAATTGGTTGGAGTCTTTTATCGTAATTGTGGAATAATTCGCTAAGTAGGCGTTGATGTGGAGAGGAAAAATCTTTAAAAAAAAAATTTTTTTTTAATTTTTTTTTAATTTTTTCTTCTCAAAATTACCTCCAAAATTAAATCCTTCAATTCCTCTCCATAAAACCCAAAATTGAATTATTGAAAAAATTAATAAGAATTTGGTAAGGCGGTATAATCCAAACAAGGGATTTTTTATTTGGGTAACGAGGGCATTATTTGTGGATTTCATCTTGAAAGAGATTATTTTTAAAAATTAATTCAACTGAAATTAAACATCGTTAAGTCAATAGAATGAAGGTTAAAGGTTTTTTTTTCTTTCTCAGAGTCAAAAAAAAAATAAATTTAAAATAAAAGAAAAGGGGTATGGGATGGGAGAAGAGGTGGAATTCCGATTTCCGAGTTCCGACTTTTGAGCCAGTTCCGATTTCCGGTTCTTCCGATTTCCGACACCTCTGACTGTTCCGACTCACCTCTGGAAGGGTGGGAAGTTCCTGAGCATTATTGTATGTAGCTTGAAACCCTGATAAATACGGGAGGTGTGCCCATTTGAAGGTAAGAATTTTCTCGCACTAATTCAGAACTCGGTGTTATACCCGCATTTTGTAATAAGGATTTTCTGGGTTAGAAGGGTAGGTTAATCTCTACCTCGTCCCGAAGACATGCAGACACGTCCAGAGGGACTATTAGCAAATTGAGGGAAGTAAGGGGAAGGGGGAAAGTTTTCTAATAAATTAAAATTTTATACAAATGCGACTGTCAGCGAATCAGATTTTATAAGAAGAAGAAAAATCTATATTTACTAGAGAAAATTTTGAATATAAAAAATATGTCAAAAAAGGACAAATAAATAAAAATAAAATATAAATTGAAAGCGGAAATTAAATAAAAAAAGGAAAGTGTGTTTAGGACATTTAAAATAAAATAAAAATTTTTTTTTGAGGAGAGGGTTAAAAGTTTAGAAAATATGTTTAAAAATTGGACACATAGTCAACATGGGAGAGGTTAGAAAAATTTTTTTAGCCTCTTCCCTCAATTAGAATCACTGCTAGTGCGTGGTGCTCCTGCTGAAAGACTTGTTGTGGTTGTAGTATCCCCCTGATCAAAGTCAGGGATATCATTAGCGAGAAGAGCGGGGAAGTTAAAATGATTATCCTCTTCATTATCCTCTTCCTCTGGATCTTCAAAATTTTCGACTTGGGGGATTTGCTCATCTTCGTCATCTTCTTCTTCTACATTGTGTTGCCATTCATTATTTCCCTCTTCACCATCATGTTCATCCCATCCTCCATATTCTTCTGGAAGTTGATCTAATTCGTCTGGTACAACCTAAATATTGAAATTATCAAAATATCCCGTATAATGAGTACCCTTAGGGTCTACACTAAAATTAGTTGTATGGTCAGGGGTTATCTAAAGTAATTTTTAAAATAGGACGAAAGGCATTGGCACACCCCTAGTATGGAGGTACATCGCTTAGACATCTCCTCGGGTCATCACTAAACTTTGTACGCAGATCTCGAACAAAAATCTCGATAAATGAGATTCCTTCCAATTCAGTCTCTACACAAAAGGTTAACTCTTTTCTTATTTCTTAAAAAAATTTACATCGTGTTGAGGATCATGAACGATATTGCCACCATCTGCTTCTCGTTGTGCACTCAAACAACATCCACAATTTACATTTTTAATAATAAAAACAAAAAATAAAAATAATTTAATTAATTTAAATAATTTGGTTGACATTTTTTTAATTTTTTAAAATTCTTTTTTTGCTTTCTAAAAAATTTTATGAGGGTTTTTAATTATGCGATTAGCCAAAAAACAATTTTTTATCATTTTCCCGACATGAACAAATAAAAATACCCGGAAAGGAATCGAACTCGCACCCCTACCACCCACTCACACAACATTAAACCACTACACTAACGATTTAAAAAATAAGACTCCCATTAATGCTAATGAGTAATTAAATAATTAAATTAATTTAAAATATTTTTTAATTATTTTATTGGGGGAAATAATATAATTAAAAAAAAAATTTTAATAAATAAATTTATTTTTAAAAATTTTTAATAAACAAGGCAATTTAAATATTCGATTCAATTTCTCAATTAAATCCCCTCTCCCTTCTATTTCCTTCATCTATTTCTTTATTCAATTTAGAATTTCCTTAACACCCCCCCCCCCCCCCATCGACAACTCTAACAGCAAGACTGCTTCCTGTGCAACGCTCGTAAAAATCTTTAAAAAATTGATTGATTTGGTTTTTAATGTCCAATTTTTATTTAATAAATTAATTTGTTTAATTTAAATTTTTTTAAAAAGTTGATAAAACATGGGAATATTGACTTTATTTTATTTTATCATTTTCCTTTGAAAAATCAAACCCAGAGAGGCATCGAACCTGCAACCCCAACCACCCGCTTACTAGGGATGTTCGAGAGTCGAAAAAAGCCGAGAGTCGAGACCGAGAGTCGTCTCAATTTTCTCTTCCTTTTCCTCTTGCGCCTTCCATCTTTCGCTCACTTTTTTTCCTCTCTACCATCATTAGGGGGTGTGTCTTTGGAACCGGTTCCACGGTACCGGTTCCAGACCTTTGCCGGTTCCACTTCCAGTTCCGGAACCCCCGCATCACTGCCAGCCTAGTACTATCAAAAAAAATCGGCTGCCTTTAGAAAATTTTACTACAGACTTGAAATAAATGAATACAAGGTTAAATTATTTAAAAAAATTTTTTTGTTAGATATCCATAAATCTGATATTTTTCAAAAAACTTGAAGACATCTTTTAATTCTGCCTCATTCCTCAAGGGGAAGAACTTGTTGTACTTCCTCTTGTACTTCCTCCTAGTGGTGTAAATCCTGGGGTTGTTGTATGAGTATGTACTTCATCAAATCCTTCAACCTCATCAGCGTCTTGAAGTAATGGAGGCAAGTTTTGTTCTCCAAGATTTGCAAAAAATTCAAAATCCTCTGGAGCAGCATGGATTTCATTATCATCTTCTTCTTCATCCTCTTCCTCGTCCTAAATATTAAAACAAAAATAAATATGTACTTCAGTGCCTCGCAAATTTGTTCAAGCCCTCCCTCGAAAGAATTTTTATGACTTTATTTTCTGGATTTATTTCTGGTACCGTTATAACAGAAGTAGAGTTGTTACAAAAAAATCTTAGCTGTTATCCTTGCTAGGATTGCGGATCATGGAATCACTTATAACCAGTGCTTAGACCTCGTACCACCCCATTTTTTACCTCGTACCAAGTACGAGGTAGAGTAGAAATTTTGGTATGAGCGTCCAAGCACTGCTTATAACCAAATTCAGATCTGATATCTAAGCCAAGCTTTAATTATCCGAATCGTCCGGCTCCGACATTTTTAAATACTTGGAGCTCCCTCCAAGTATTTGAACTCTTTGGCTCCGTGCTCTAGTTATGACTTTAATTTCTGGTGCCATTTAACCGGAGTCAGGTACATTTAATGAAAAGTTTACTTGGTTTTGATCAAAATGTTGTACGGGTTGCTGATTTTGACCAAAATTTGGTTCTGCTCCAACATCCAAAATAAAAATTTAAAATTAATTTGAATAAATTTACTATCACATACCTTCATTATCGTTATCTTCTAAAACATCTCCACTGCTACAACCACACCCACAATTTACAATTTTAATAATAAAAACGAAAAATAAAAATGATTGAATTAATTTTGTTGACATTTTTTAAATTTTTTTTGCTTTCTAAAAAATTTTAAATGAGTTTTTAAATATTTCCACTGACTAAGAATAATTTTCTACAACTTACAAATATTTTTAAAAATTAAAAAAAAATTTTTTTTGCTTTCTAAAAATTTATAAAAGGTTTTTAATTATTGCGATTAACCAAAAAAACAATTTTTTATCGTTTTCCCGACATTATCAAATAAAAATACCCTTAGAGGCATCGAACCTGCACCCCCAACCAACTTCTCACACACCACACACCACTACACTACGAGGAATTTAAATTTTTAAATTTTTTAAATTAGACTGCTTTATTAGATGGATATAAGTTAAAATAATTTTTTAAATGATTGGGGAGCGTACCCTTTGGGGGAGCTTATACCCTTCAATTTTTAATTCTCTCTCTCTCCTCCCCAATAAAAATACTTTAACATTAAGACGATTTCCGTTTGCCACGCTTCTTTCTATAAAAGAATTTTTAAATTGATTAAATTAGATTTTTAATCGCTAATTTTAATTAAACAAGAATTAAAGCCAATTAAAATAAAAAATTAAATAAATATTTTTAAGTTTTTTAGTTCAAAAATAATAAAAATTAATTTTTTGGGTTTGGTAAATGTCCAGCTCGCATTCTACCTTCTGCAAATGCAGTCCGCAAAGGCGTTCTGCAAGAGGCATTTTTGCTGCATTCTCCTCCTTTTCTTCTTTCCCTTCATTTTCTTTGAGTTACCAAATGATTGGTTGACAGCTTGGCGTAATCTTTTGGGCGTTATTCATGAAAAAGATTTAATTTATAAATAATTATATAAAAATTAAAAAAATATATAAATTTATGATAAAGTTATAAAAAACTAAGCGGCAAATTGTTGGTAAAAATTTTGAGAAATTGGTAAACCAAGAATTCAGATTTTCTTCTGTATTAATATGTATGAATATTGTGGATATTTTGTGGTATTCGCGGATATTACATATCCGTATCTATGAACATCTCTGATTTTTAATATTTTAATAAATTCAACCCAGCCTAGTTAAAGGTTCCCTTGATTTACAACTTTATCATAAATTTATATATTTTTTTAATTTTTATATAATTATTTATAAATTAAATCTTTTTCATGAATAACGCCCAAAAGATTACGCCAAGCTGTCAACCAATCATTTGGTAACTCAAAGAAAATGAAGGGAAAGAAGAAAAGGAGGAGAATGTAGCAAAAATGCCTCTTGCAGAACGCCTTTGCGGACTGCATTTGCAGAAGGTAGAATGCGAGCTGGACATTTACCTTTGGGTTTTTTTAACTTTTAAAATTTTTTAAATTCTCAAAAAAAATTCTTAAAAGTTTTTCTAGCATTGTAATACACTAAAAATAATTTTCTACCACTTTACTAACCTTAATAAATAAAAATACCCGGAGCGGCATCGAACCTCCACCCCCTAACAACAGCAAACACAACACTAAACCACTACACTAACGAGTAATTAGTTAATTTAATTTATTTAAAATATTTTTTAATTAATTATTATTTTATTACGGGAATATAATTTAGAAAAAATTTTTTTAAATAAATTTGTTCCTTAAAAATTTTTGGCAATAGAATTTAAATATTCAATTAAATCTCTCTATTAAATTCCTTCTCCCTTCTTTCTCCTTATCCAATTCCTTGTTAATTTTTAAATTTTCTTCACCCCACCTCCCTCGATAACTTCTCCCTCCTCTTCCCCGATAACTCTAACCGCAAGGCTATTTCCTGTTGCAACGTTTTTTTATTTTTTAGTGTCAAAAAAAATTTTTTAATTGATTGATTTGGCTTTGCAATGGCCAATATTTATTTTATTTTATTTAATTTTTATTTAATTTTAAAAAATTTAAAAATTTAAAAATTCCAAAGATTCAAGTCTAGATAATAAAATTAAAGTCAACATAAAATTGAATCAACGCTTTTTCTCTACTTTTTTAATTTAAAAAATTAAATAAAAATTAATTTTTTGGGTAGTTTTAGGTGAGTTTTTTTATCTCTAGTTTTTTAAAGTCTCTAAAAATTATAAGAATTTTTAGCGGTTGTAATATACTAAAAATAATTTTTATGACATTTCTAACATTAAAAAATAAAAATACCCAGAGAGGGATCAAACTTTCACCCCCTAACAATGGCAAACACAACACTAAACCACTACACTAACGAGTAATTAATTGAAAATTAAGTTTTGCTACTACATAGCATCCACTTTTACTACTAGTCTTGTACTATCGAGAAAAAAAACATTAAAAAATTTTACTAGAAATTTAAAATAAATGAACAATTTTTTTAGTCTCACAAATTTGCATAATTTTTGTCAAAAAAATTTTTTTTAATCTTTTAAAATTCTTCCTCATTATTCAATGGAAGAACCTTCCATTGTAGAACTTGTTGTACTTCCCCTTGCACTTCCTTCTAATGGTGTCAATCCTGGCGTTGTTGTACCCGTAGTTTGTTGTTCTTGTTGTTCTTGTTCTTGATCAAATCCAGGAGGATGATTAATACCCGGAGGCATGTCAAAAGCAAATTCCATATCATCATCTTCTTCTGCTTCATTTCCCCCATTAAAGTCAAAATCATGTGGTGGAACGGGGATTTGGTTATTATCGTCTTCTTCTTCCTCCTCTTGATTTCCTTGATGGCCTTCCTGATCTCCTTCCTGATTTTCTTGTCCTTCTCCCAGCTCTTCCTAAATATTAAAACTTAAATAAATTACATCTCGCCATTCATTTGAGCCCTCTCCCTCGAAGGATGTTTATAAATGCCGTTAAAACCGGAGTCAAGTTTTTTTCTAATAAAAAGTTACTTGATGTTGATCTACAGGTTGTTCGACTCCCTGGAGATGACCCAAACTTGGTTCTCCTCCAACAACTAAAATTAAATTAAAAAGAATTTAAATAAGAATCCCATTAAAATACCCCCACCATCATTATCATCAACTAAACCATCTCCTCCTTTACCACAAAAACACCCACAATTTATAATTTTAATAATAAAAACAAAAAATAAAA